GGACATCCCGCGGGATGGGATCTGGCTGCTTTCCCTCTCCGGGAACGTTGGTTTGTGTCCTTCCCCGTGCTTGGCTAACGCAGCTTGTTGCTCCCCACGATAACACGGCATTGGAGCTAAGGGGGGGATGCGGGCTCTGACTTGCACCCCTCTCTTGGGCACGTTCCAGCTCATCTTTCATCCCAACTTCCCTCCCCTCTTCTCTCTTCCCTTTCCCATGGGGGGGGTCTCCAGCTCCTCTCCCCCGCTGGGCATCTCTGCTGCAGCTCGTGCGTGCCCCGGGGCCCCACGGCAGCCCCCAGCTTGCCCCCCAGCCCTGCATCCCTCCCAGCTCCCATCGCTGTGGTCTCCGTAACGCTGCGGCTCAGCGTGTCAAACAGGATTGAGCAAACCGAGCGTGATGAGCCGCAACAGGGGTTGTTTTTGCTCTGGGGCAGAGTGCCTGTCTCCGGAGCTCAGCTTCTGCTCGGGCTGTCCTTGGCTCTTCCCTTCTCCCTCTGCCTTTGGTTTCCCCCCTGCCAGGGAGGAACAAAAGAGCAACGTGAGCCGGAGGATGACAAAATGGAGGCTCCCCTTCCCCTCTTCCTCTGCCTTCCTCCCAGCGTCGCAGCACCAGGATGCTGAGGGATGACGTGGGGGAGCTGAGCCGTGCTGGCTGGATAGGGGAGGCTGGCCACAACCTCAACTTTAATGGTGTTTTTTTCTTTTTCCCCATTTCAGAGAGGATTTGGACCAAGAAGAGAAGGCCAGGTTTGGTGAGCTCTGCAGCGGCGAGAACGGGAAGGGCAGGGAATGGTTCGCGAGATACGTGAGCGCCCAGGTAAGGGGAGAGACGGGCGAAGGAGCAGCGATGCTGTACCGGGGCTTCGGAGCAGCCTGGGCAGGAGGCTCAGGCCAGGGGAATTTAGCAATGGCCCAAAGCGATATTTTTGGAGGGCAGGAACTCGGGGAAAGGGAGGAACTTCAGTACAGGGAGATACAGAAGTGAATAAATGCATCTCGAGGCAGTCAAGTATGTGCTTGTTGCAATGTGGGAGAGAAGTCACCTGTTTTATTTAAAATGAAATCCCATCAGCACTCAGAAACGTCCTATTCCCCAGAAAAACAATTCAGAGAGGCAAACCGCTGTCTCCGAGAGGGAGGCCCGACCACCCTTGCTCTCTGCCCACCCCCTGCGCGGGGGGTCCCGGGGTGGGGGGCTGAGGTTGCCCTTGCTGCTTGCGGCAGGCAGCTGGTGCTAAACCCTGGGCTTTGTGCCTGCAGCGCTGCAACTCCAAGTGCGTCTCGGAGCAGACCTTCTACCGCCTGATGCAGTCGTTCGCCCTCGTGCTGTTTGAGTAAGTCGGGGGGGGTTTGGGGCTTTGTTGCAACCACCGAAAGCCCCTGAGATCAGAGCCATGGCTCAAGGAGGGGCAGCAACCACGAGGCTGCTTGGGTTGCCATCGATGGGCGTCTTCACCGAATCCTCCCTCCGTGTCAGGTGTCACCAGATGGATGACTTCAGCCCTGCCAAGAACCTCATGACCATGTGTTTCACCTACTACTACGTGGGTAAGAGGTGCCTGCACCCTCGGGCTTTGCTTGTGCTGGAGACGGGTGGTGAAGTGTGTCCTATGCTTGGGAAGGGTGATGGATGGGTACCCGAGCTGGCTCTGGCTGACTCCGATATTGAGCAGAAAAGAGCCTCCATGGCCCAGAAGCTGTGCAAACCTGCCGGAGACCCTCGCTGGGGTGGTACCTCACGCTGATGCTGGTTTATCATGGCTTCTAGCCAGGGATGTTTGTGTGTGGTGATCCCCAGATGTTCCCCAAGCCTGGGGATGTGATGTGAAACCCCCAGCCCAGAAGCACCTTGGCTCGTTGCTTGGTGTGTGGTGGTCACTTCTCCACGGGGGGCTGGATTTCTCTCCAAAATGGGGGGAGAATAAAGACCTACAGGAATTGGGATGGGGTCTAGGCCATTTCTGTCTGGCTCCTGGTCTCTCCACGGTGCATCTTGTAGCTGGGAGCAGGTCTCCCAGGAGCTGGCAGCACCCAGGACCATGGGGCCAGCTGAGCTCCTGCCATGTTGCCCGCAGGCAAGACCCACGCGCTGCCCTTGGAGGCCAAGGAGAAGCCCATGGGCAGCATTGACTCGTACCTGAAGTCGGCGAACAGCTGGCTAGCGGAGAAGAAGGACATCGCGGAGCGGCTGCTGAAAAACACATCGGCCAAGACGGAGAACGTCAAGGGCTTCTTTGGGGGCCTGGAGACCAAACTGAAGGGTCCTATCACCAAAAAGAGCAAGTGGGTACCGCTCTGTTGGGTGGGCATGGTGGGCTGAGGCAGGCACTCGTAGCGTGACCAAGCCAGAAACCTCCTGGGTGTAGGATCACTATGAGCCAGGGGTTATCATGGCCATGGGAAAACGGTCTCTAGCCTCGTCCCATGCATCATACTTTGGTCATTGGGCATCTCATAGTCTGGGAGTCCTGTGTCCCTTGGGCATGGAGGTATGTGGTTCCAGGAGACAGTGCTGTTGCTTTGTGGTCTTCTGCATAATCTCTGAACCGGGTCCGACTGGGATGGACATCACAGTCTCTTAGCCACCTTTCTGGCCCTGGGGACAGTGGCATGGGAGCAGGGGGTCTTTCAAATGAAGGTGCTCCCCTCACCAAGGAGGCCAGAGTTTTGCCGCATGGGCTGTCAGGGGGACAGGCTTTTCGGGAGCTGATGCTGATTTCTGTGCCACAGCGAAGGTGAGGACAAGCCAAAAGAGAAGCTGAAGAAGACGGGTGAGTGGAGCCAGCGTTACTGAATTAGGCATGGTCAAGGCATCTCTGGGGAAGGGGCGAGGGTTGGAAGTGGTACGAGATGCCCGGCATTGTGGGAGGTGTGGGGTGGGGAGAAGGGCAAGACTGATGCTGTCTCCTCTGAGCTCCTAGAGAAGTGCTCCAAAGGAGTCTTCACAGCTCCTTGCTTTGGAGCAATCACAGCTGTTGTCCCACAAGGACATCTTGTGGCATCTTGTCCTCAGTGGCACCAGGTTGCAGAGGTTTGGGCACCCACTGCTGCTCCGGTCACCATCCTGGTAGCCGCGTGTGCTACCAAACCAGAGGTCCAGTCCCTTGAGCATCCTCCTGGGACATCCATCCTTGACCAGAGCTAATATCTGCCCACAAAGGGTAGCCAAAGCTCCTCTTCACATTGCTGGGCATGTGTTGGGGATGAGTATTTGGTTTGCAGACTTTGCCGTCACGGCTGCTTGGATGCTGAGCTTGGGGGCCGGGGGGCACAAAGTCTGCGCTTGGGTGGGAAGGTGGGAGTCATCCAGACCTCGGCACGTGACTGTGTGTCCCCACAGTTTCCGTGCAGAGCCCAGAGGAGGAGAAGAAAGGAGAGAAAGTGTTGTAGACCCCCCTAAAGCCCCAGCCGATCTGGTAAAGCCTGCCCGGGGCGAGCTGGCTCCTGCCAAATCCCCCGGGGAGGGGATTTGTCCTCTTTGCCCACCCATTCCCCAGACTTTCATGGGTGCTTTTAAGCTGCTGCTGCTCCTAAAAGAGGTGACTGTGGCTTTTGCACATCCCTTGGGCTAGTGAGAGTCTGTTTGCAGACACACAAGGAGCTGGTCCAAAAATGGACCAAATCTGCCAGGCTTGCTTAGCCCCCCCCCCGCCCCGAATCATCTCCTGGCCCCTGGGGAACGGGTGAGCTTGGCCCTGGGAAGACTCGGGGGCAAGCTGGGAGAGATGGGGGGTGGCTGTCCCCAACAGCTCCCTCCCTCCCTGCAGGCACAACCTGCGGTTTTGGAATGCCGCCTTCTTCGACGCCGTGCACTGCGAGCGCAGGAAGCGGTCCCCCACCACCAGGTAGGACACGTCCCCGTGGGAAAAAGAGACGCCGTGTCCCCTCCAGCCCCCGGCATTCCCCTCTGCTCCTAACGGCCCTAAGCGTTACCGACCATGGGGAAACGCTCTGCTTTCCACCCCTGATTGCAAAGCTGCCGGGACCACTGGGCTGTGGGGTGGGGAGGTGAGCAAGGGAAATAATCCCTTTCCTCGGGCAGGTAGATGTGCATCCTCTTAAGGATTTGGGAGCATATAGGTTTTCTTGCTTATTTTGCATCGTTTTTGCAAGCCCTAGAGGTGTGTCCAGAAAACCCAGCCAGGGTTCAGGCTGTTGGTGTTTAGTTTGCAAGCAGATCTGGGAAAAGATGCTTGGTGCAGCCCTTCGGGGAGGTGCAGCGGACGGGGAGGGGATGCCCTGGGTCCCTGGGAGGGCCGTGGAAGTGCTGCCGGCGCAGCGTGGGGACCGACCCCGGGCAGGCAGCAAGGACGAGAGCTGGAGACGGCAGTGCGGTCGGCCCCAAGGGCTGGGAGGATCAGGATAAACCTGCAAAGGGAAGGGGCTGCTCGTTTCGGAGGGTAGCTGTGTGCAGGGAGCATCTGGGTGCCTGGGCATGGGGACCCCACGGGGTCCAAGGGTGGGCGAGATGCTCGCCGGGCTCGTGCCCATCTCTTGCTCCACCGCGGACCGGCCGTGAGGGCTCGAGCAATTCACTTCTCTCTCGATCGCAGTTTCACCCCTCCAAAGCCGGACCGTCCCGCTGCGTCTGTGCAGTGCTTTGAGGCTTTGAGTTCTCGGGGTGAGTCGTTGAGCTCAGAGCATCTGAACAGCCCCTTTTCTGAGCCGCGACGGCACTTCTTGAAGCAGCCAGCCCTCCTGCATCCTCCCCAAAACCTGCGCTAAGCCACGGCAGCCCTGGCTCACACCGTGGGATGCTCTGCCAGGCTCAGCACACCGATCAATCTCTGCTTTCTCCTTTATTGCTTTTCTTTTTTTCCAAGCAAGCCCCTGAAAGAACCTATTGAACAGTAATGTAACCATAACTGCATTTGCTTTGATTAAGCCCCGAATTAGCAGCAGCAAATGTCTCACAAGGACATACGCCACCGGCAGCTGCTCTCTGCTCCGAGTGCCTTTCTCAATTAATGTGATGGCTGAGTCTGCCTCCGCTGCACAAACAAGCCCGACTAACGAATGAGCTTCGGGAGCTGCAGCCTGGAGTCCTCCGAGTATCTCAGGGGGGTTGGAAGGTGGTGGTGACCCCCGCCTCAATCCTCTGGAGAGGATAACGGAAGCCACTGGGTGAACTGGGATGCAGCTTGCTGGACTGAAAATTAAAATCCCTGGCAGGAGGAGTTGGTTGGCGAGGGCTGGGGATCCCAGGGGCTGGGTTTGAAACGCCAGGGATGGTGCTTGACCATGGCAGGCGTCTGCAGGGTCCGTGGTGACTGGTTTGTGAGGGTGCCTATCTCTGTGGGGTGGCCAGGGCATCGCTGGGGCGGCCGGGCTGTGTCCTCCCGGGGCTGCAGTGAGAGCTGGGGAGGTTTTTCCTCCTCTCGGTGGGGAGGGCAGGGGATGGGGGGAAGGAACCAGAACTAAACTCCTCTTTTTCTCTCTCTTTCCTCTCTCTGCCTCTAACAACCTTCTTCCGTCTCTTCTTCTCTCCTTTCCCCTCCATCCCTCTATCTTGCATGATCTTTCACACACCACTTTTGTCGGCCCCGTTTCTGCTGCCGCTCCAGAGGGAACGCTGGGGAGGAAGAGGAGAAGAGGTGTGTCTGTCCCCATACTTCGGTGCATTAGTGTCCAGAGGCCGACGCTCACTTCAGGTCCAAATCCTGCCCTGGGGAGGGGGGTAACGTGTTTCAGGGGGGCTCTGAAAGGCCCTTCTCCACCGGGGAGGAACGGCCGCCGGAGGTTTGACTTCACGTGCATCACCCTCTCAAAAGGGCCGGAAAGGTGGAGATTGGTTCCTCTTTAATGCAGCTTTTTAAAAAGAAACCCGACCGGTTTTAAGCTGTGATACTTTGCTGTGGGAATCGGGTGCCCAGCTGCTGGGGAAGCCAAGGGCTTGTGCCGGGAACAGTTCCCCAGGCAGGTTTTGGACATGAACTGAGTCTCTTCGTGGAGAAAGCATCCCCCTCTCCTGTCCTTCCCGCTTGCTGCTGGCTTCTGCTGCTGCGTAGACGTGCCGAGCACCCTTTGCCAGCTGGAAAAGCTGGTCCTTCTATTTTTTTCTAATGCACTCTTGGGTTGCCATCCCTAGATAAAAAGAAAAATGCAAACGGGGCTGCATGTCATGATCGCAGGCGTGTCCTCCGGGTTGCAAAGCTCAAAAGCAGCTGCATCCATCCATGCTCCGAGCTGGGATCGGGGGGCGAGGAGAGTCATTGCTCTCTTGCTGGAGCGTGGGATATTCAATCTTGGAGCAAATCACTCGAAGTGATGGCATTAGCAAGAGGATGAGGGCTCTTTGAAGCTTGGCAGTAAATTTTCTGCATGGCTAAGGCATGCGCCAGATAACTTAAATACTGCTCAGAGAGAGCATTGCTCAGGTTAGCTGTGCGGGGTGAAACGCTGCTGCTGAAAGACGAGCGATGCCGAGTGATCCAAGCCAATCTCACCGGCATGGTTCTCACCAGCGCCCGGTGGCGGCGAGGCTTTCCTGGGTACCCTGAAATACAGGCAAGGTGTTACGCAGCCCGTGGGGTTATGCACCCCTGCGCCTGCCCCGCCGAGCCGGTGTAAAGACCCAAGGGTCTGAGCAGAGCCACATGTGGGCTTTCCCCCTCCCCAGGCATGTTACTACTGAGTAACAAGCCAGAAGCACGGCGAATTTTTCTTGGACACTTTGATAATTTTTTTTTTTTCCCCTTCCTCCCTCAAAAACATAAAAAGGCAGGAAAAAAATAGTGAGATCTGTGAGGTTTTGCTTCCAGATTTCAAAGCTCCTTAATTTGATTCTTCTCCTTTCTTTTCAGCCTCCAGATTTGGATGTGGTTTTTATTTGCTATCGTAAGCTTTATCTGGGAGAAATTACACCTTTTTTTTTTTTTAAATCCCCTTAAATGTATCGTATAAGTTTCCAGAGCCCTATAAATCTAAGCAGCTCATCCCTGGAGACCGAAGGCTCAGCTCAGCAGCATTCGCACGCCCGGGCTGGGCTGACTTGCGTGAGGACAGGCTCCTCTTCGTGGGGTCAGACTGGCTGAGCCCTCATCCTTTCCCAGTTTCACCAACACAAACATGCACTGGGGCTGAGCTAACCTCACTGAATTTACCGCGAGACACCCTTCTTCCCAGCTGCCGTTTTCACCCGACACAGCTCCTCCGACCCTGCTT